CTATTATGACTGGGACATAAAAATTGATACAAACTCAAAAAAATATATATATAGGTATAACAGCACATTACATATATATATATATATGTATATATACGACAAGAAAAAAATCTTGCTTTCTCTTATGACTAGTGACTTGGTCAGAACGTATCCCGGGAACTAACAAAAACACTATTTTCATACTTGCCTTAGACTCCTTACTCACTAATAACAAGCTGAGGTGTTTTTATAGAAATTTCCGCGTTACAAACCTTTTACTTCGCCCATCAAAATCAACTACTTATCAGCCAAGTATTAATTGATTATTTCATATGGTAAATATAATTACATTTCCACATAGAGTGGTTGCGTTTTTTCCTGACAGCAGAACAGAACATAACTATTAGTACATCTCAAAACTACTTGCCAAGTACGCGTAGTTAATATAAATAAAAACAATTTTCTTTCACCTGTGAAATACAAAAAAGAAAGTAAAAAAACAACAACAACAAATAATAAAATAAATACAAGTAATATATAATCTTCGATCGCGGCATACCTTTAGATCAACACCACGTCTAAAATGGTTGTAGATTGCAAGTAATGGTTGCGTGGATTTTCCTCCGGATATTTCTAGTATTATTTTCGGCTGGGCGACGTTCTTTTCTATAACTCTAGTCTTGTCGAAATTAACAATTTTCTTTTCTTGCCGACGGCTTTTGTTTTACTTGAAAGCCAAACGGTTTACTGAAGTGCGAATTCCAATCATTTTCATCTATTTAAATATTCTAAGCAGCGATAATGTTTACATATCTCATAGAGAGTACATTATATAACATTTCTTAAATTTTTGCAAAGTGCTGTGCAGGGCAATCTCTTAAATTGTTTATAATGGTTGATATAAAATGTCTTTGCAGTTTTTTGGTCTTCGTTTGAACTTGTTATCGTAGCCTACTCTCTTTGAATGATTCATGATGAATTGTCATGTGGTTGATGTTTAGTGCTCCCGCTATTTCCTGACAACTTTTTCATTCAAATTTTCAATGACTGGCCGGACCAGAGCTAACTGCAGGTAAGGAGGAATCCATGAAACGACTTCTGGATCCTCCGCTTACTTACAGCATTCACTTCACAAAATTTTTCGGCTGTTGTTTTAACTTTTTTTAAAGCACAGAAGCATCACATAGCGTATTTGTTCAGATATTTTACTCATTTCCATATCATATTTAAGCTAAAGCGTCATCTTTTAAACGCATGTTCGTTTGAGACAATCAGATGAATCCTGCCCGATATGCAGGCATCAACTCCAACTAGTAGCAAAAAACCATAGAAACGCATCCATTACTATTAGACAATTGGTTTGGTCTGCTAACTTTCCTTTTGAGACCTTTCACTAACTGCATCATTTTTTAAAAATTTTCCCCTTTTCGACTTTCTGTTCTTTCGTAATCTCGCCCTATACATCTACCTTTTCTTATACGGTTTTTCTATTTCTCAGCGCTGGAAACGAACACCAGCCATAGAAACTGCATGTAGGTGATGAAAAAGCAGCACATTTCGTTACTTTGTTCCGTTCTTCCCTTTCATTTTCCTTTTGTGAGAACTGAAACAACATATTCGGCAGTGTTTGTATTGTGACTTTGCATTAACTCTTTGCCTACCTTGTGTACAAAATGTTACTTGTCAGCTTTGTTACATTAAGAGTACGTTTATAGGTTCGTTTAACTTACATGCGAAGTTGTATTTATACTCAACTCATTTTACATATTATAAAATAAGAAGCTAACGCTTACAGAGCAACTTACTATTACACATTATTTTTGCAAAAAAAAATATAGATTCTTTACAAATGCCCTTTACTTTCGTTATATCGCGAACGATTAGTAAGTAAACGACAGATTTGTGCGCGTCTGTGTCATGCTGCACATGTTATGTCACGATATGTGTTATACGTGTGCCTGAGTAACAAGTTATATTTCTTGAATAATTTTAATTAAATAGCATACGTTATTTCATTGTTATCATTATGTGTGCACTTAAATTAATGTTAGCTTCAAAAAAATTACTCTCTATACTTAAATTATTATTTTTTTTTTTTTAAATTAATAATACGGCAGTTCAGCCGTTCCTATATATAGGAATATAATGGAAATTGAAATTCAAAGCAAAGTCTGTTCCGTAGAATATCGAGAGCGAAAACAAAAGACATTCGAAAGTTGAAATAAAAAGCGCACATATATACCGAATTCTGTATGGGCTTATATAATTACAAATCTTTCCAAGAAACCAATTTTTATAACCGTCACCGATGGCATGAAGGGTCAAAATGTTTGCAACGCCTAGAAGCAAACTTCAGAGATCCCACAAAAAATACATCTTTTTCATCTGCATAAAATTCTGAATCGATTTAAGAATGTCCGTCTGTCCGCCTGTATGTCTGTTATCAACATTTCCCTGGCCGCAAACATTAAGCTATCGATTTGAAATTCGACGGAAACGTTAGAAGTTCTCGCACGGAGGTTGGTATTGAAAATGGGCCAGATCTATCGAAGGACACTCCCACAGCAGCACGTAAGCTGAGAATACCTCTGTTTTTCAAAAGACATCAAAATTGTTTTTTTGTTCATTACTCATACCCTACAGTAGATAATTTTAACGAAATTTGAACATATGTTCTATGGACGCTGCTGTAATACATGTACAAATATGGGAAAACTTGATAACACCTACCCAGTATATCAAAATTACATTTTTCTTCAATATTTTTGTAACGCGCAGTTTCAAATTTTGAATGCAACTAAGCATGTGCCTCTATTCGTTTGTCCATCTGTTCGTCTGCCTGCGACTGTGTAATCGCAAAAATGAAGGCATCGCCGAAAGAATTTGGAAGTGACCTACACTTTTAAGAGGTCACACCCACACGCTTACGCAATAAAAACTATGAACATCTTTATATCTGTGTTCTCTGCTTGTTACTCATAGAGTACAACGCATAAACCAACGCATTCCACTTTTATTCTGAAAAAAGAAAAAATCAGCCGCGCCCATCCAATATTATGGAGTAGGAAATTTAGTTATTTTCCTTGTTCAACTCTTTCTTAGGACAACGGTGGTGGTTATAAAAGATTCCGAAAGTACCGAATATAATTTAATTACTTGTCTTCAATTGGCTTATTAAATATTTAAAAGCAAGAAATAAAGTTTAAAGAGAGAACAATTCGTTGCCTGAAAAGATTTTCTGTTGAAAAATCAATTTTTTTTTAAATTCAAGCCAGGACTTTCCTTACAATGAGCACGGAATAGATTAAGTGACATTTTCTTTTTGATCAAAATTCGCACTAAGTACACTGCCCGCCGTCGAATATTTTATATTAAATATGTCTTGTAAAATTTGCTCCAGTGTTACTATTTGCTAATATATTTCAAAATAGTATTTATTTTAATACTTGAAAAACTGCTGGCCTTAATAAGTTCCGCGAATATTATTACACTAAACCACGCTTTCATGTGGACTCATTTAAGACAGATTCATAAAGCATGGAGAAAAATTGATCGTATCACACGCTAAAAGACCCAGCAGATATTGCACATGGTTGTGGGAAAAAAAAACTTGTTTTATTCAACGGTTGTCATGTTATGTCTTAAGCCCGTTTGTTAAAGAAACTTTTTCTTTTTTTTTTACCATGACCATCCACTCGGGAAATGTCGCCTGACTGTAATGCGATGACGATCAGAAAAAAGAGAAAGAAATGGAGAGGCGTTAGGTGCAACCAAGTGAGTAAGGGACTGGATAATCACTATAGCAACGAGCAAGGAAAACTCTCCTGGCTTTGGGTTTTGAACAGGCGAACACTGGCTCTTGTCTACATGGCTACTCAGGAGGAACTTGATCGCTTTGAGCTTTGAACCGACCAAGTAGGAGACGTACAACACAGATTCATTGGGAGGAAGTCTAGCATTCTCTATTATCTTATGTTACTCTTTATGCTTTTATTGTGTTATAATCCCTTAATAAGAAGGTTTAACTGAAGTAATAGGGATTTCAAAGTCGCTATAAACTTCCAAAACTTAAGTAGTATATCATTTACGTATTAAAAGCAAGAGAACAAAACTTACGCTTAAATTCCCCATCTAATCCAAAATAGATATTTCGTAAATGCATATATATATGCAGCTGCCTTCGTTGGTAAGAGAAGAGGACACAAAACATATATAGAATGCACAAATGTCAAGAAATGCTTTCTTATTGTAATAATAATATTTACAATAACTTTAACCTTTTCTTTCATTTGATTCCTTTTTCACACATACTAATGCGATAAATGATGCAAATAAATCTGTTATAATTAATTATAAGATTCCCATATACAAATGTCAAACAACAATATAGTTATTCCTCCAGGGACAAGTACAACTTACTGCAGTCAGAGAAAACTAAGAAAAAAAAAAAGAAAATGTATATATATATATATATATATATATAAACGACGCTAATTAAAATCAATTGAGGTTTCCCTCTAGTTAGCTAATGATACTCTGCTGACTAAAAATGAACGAATTAAAATTAAAAACATTTGATGACAAAATGCTGGGGCGTCTTTGTAATATGTCCGTATAGTGATGCCATCTCACTGGTGTAGAGTGAGAAAAACACACTATAAAGGCGTTAAGTGTCTGAGTGTTAGCGAGAACGTTCGGGCATACATAAGTAATTAAAAAAGCTAAATTAAAACGGAGATTGCCGCTTTAAAGCAAATAATAGTAAATTAGGGGAGTCATAGCTTGGAGGAGACGAGATAGGACTTTGTCTTTTTTTTTTTTTTTTTTTTTTTCTTTAGAACGTCTCACACTCGTTTAAGCAAGAAGCAAACAGAAATATAAGAAACCAAATTAATTAAATTTATTATAGTTAAACTGATCTTATGATCGTGCTAACATGCTAATAACTCATTTTTTATATGATATGAGAGGGATCTAGATGACTGGTGTAACCATTTCCTGTAATTTGCTCTTTAATAAGGATGTCGCAACACCTACACAATTTACATGCTAATAGAGCGCTTAGTCATAATTTATTGACTAATAGTTTTTCTTTGTTAAATAAATTTTCAGATATGTACTCTACGCACACATCGTCCAGTTATTCGCCTTCAATATCGGATGGTACTCTTACACCGAATTCTTTACATCATCAGCATCTTGGTGTTGTTTCGCACCTAAACTCTATGTATACACATAGCGAAGAAGATTCTGCCTTACATACGCAACGTCATACTCAAACGCAAAAATCCAATGGTTGTTTAATGGATGGCGCTGACTATGAAGACAACGAGGAGAATTTACGCAAAAATAATGATACAAAGACAAACAATGAAGGTACGCCAACTACAAATGCTGCCGACAATAATAATGGTGAACAACAACGCCAGCACCAGCACCAGCATTCCCATCATCAACAACTAAAACAGCGTCAGGGACGTCATCATCGTCATGCAGAGCATGTCATGAGAATTCCTACAAAATTACGAAAAATCGATAGGGATTCAGAAGTTTGCAGTGGTAGTGTTGGTGGCGTTGTTGGTGGTACCACTGGCAGCGGTAACAGTAACAGTAACAATGCCACTAAATTTGATAAGTTGACAGGCGATGGCATTAAGCACAGTGGCAATACGGCCGACGGATCCTATCAATGTCAGTTCTGTGATAAATCATTTCCACGTCTTGGTTACTTAAAAAAACACGAGCAGGTAAGTACATGTGCTTGTGAATTTTGTGTTTATGAACAAAACAAACACAAGGGTGTTGAAATTAAAGTAATTACGAGTTCATGGCATTTAAAAGGGTTGTTAGTTGTCACTTGAAAATTGTTCAACTTGAAAGTTAATAAATACTTGCCTTACTGCTCTCAAAGAAAGGTAGATGGGCGTAAATGATTTTCTTTTTCCATGCGATGATGTAAAGTATTCCTTAATAATACTTCTTTTTTTTTGTTTTTCTTCTCTTATGTAATAGTTGACAAATTTGTATCATTTGTTAAAACAGAAAGAATTTAAGAAAGCTTGTATTCCGTTAGACGTATATGCGAGTATCAATTGGACTTCAGGGGAACCTAAAGTCAGAAAAACAATTTTTTTAGTTACGCAGTGCTTGAGGTAACTTATTGCGCGACCCTACAGGTTTTTTTCTTAACCTTCCTTGTGATTCTTCGTATTCCTCCCCCGCTAGTCTTGGTAATTCTCTTGATCCTAAAAATCATATAAACTAAAAAGGAAATTTTAGACTGACTTAAGATATAAATAAAATTTGAGTCCACGGTTTGTAATTGACTGTCACGGTGAAAAAGGTAGGATGTCTGCGAAAATCTACGCAAGTCTACAAACTTTATCGAAAATGTTTCATCAGACCCGTAAACATTTCGAAATTTCTTTGAAACCTACGTATGAAGCTATTCGAGATGACTCCGAGCCAAGATTCTCTCTGAGAAGAATGTGGCAGATTGTGTGGTGAAGCGTGCTTCCCAAATAGTCCCTGTCGATCGAAACATCTATCCTCTTGTGCACGTGTGACAGAACATCAAGCATATACTTCACTGATCTTGTATGGAACGTGCATGGAGGGATATAGCGTTCCAGCTCAAGTGCCTGGCAATGTGTGTTATCTTTGCTCTAAGGCAACAATAGAAAATTAGCAACAATCAAAATTTTTAATAAAGGAAATGCCAAAGGAGAATTAAATTAATCGATATTTCTTCTTTTACAAGGTATTTCTTATCCCTAATCCACTTCTTAGATATTTTCTGTTCTACTGCGAAAATCTTCGTGAGAAAATTTTCATAGAATCAAACCAGGGTCCTTAAGTAATCTCGAACTTATGAAATTAAATTTCACTATCGCAGGCTTGTTAATCTCGAGAACATCAAAACGATTGATAAGTTAACGGATAATTTTGGGCGCATTCGCCAATCGATTATCGAACACTATGAACCTCTTGAAGTAAAATGTGTTAAAGGAGGAGATAAAAGAAATTTTTTTCTTTAAAAACAACACTAAAAAAAAATTCATTTTCATTGAAAGTTAATGGAAAGTGGAATTGATAGATCATTTTTATACCCATCATCCAAGGATGATGAGATATGTTTAGAAGGATGCTTTGGAGACCTATAGAGAGAGAGAGAGAGAAGTATATGTATTCTTGATTAGTATGAAATTTAAATCGTTTTAAACATGTTTACCAGTCCTTCTGTTCATTTGTCTGTTAATTACTGTGGTCGAAAAAAGAGACAGACGCTGGATATCAATTTGCACTTTTGTTTTAGAAAAAAACGAAAAAGTCATTAACGCCCTCCCATGTATGTAAACTTACTTTTGCCCTTTTTTTTGAGTCTTTTTTAAAATGACGGTGCTGAGTATAAAAGATTCGCAGCCGAACGAAATTTCCTCGTGTGTTATTATACAACTGACCAAAAGCCACTCCAGCCAAACCAGTTGAAAGGAGACCAGCGACCTTGAATTTCACACTGCTTTTTACAGTTAACTTGCTAGCTCTTCCGGATTTAGCAGTGAGCTTTTGATTTTCGTCATGATTTCTGCAGACTTTTAATGTTTACCGCGGTATGACGTTCGCCGTTGCATTTAAGATGTCAAACATTTGTTGAGCCTGGAAATGCTTCATTAAATGAACATAGTGGTGAAAAGCGGAATCGATTTAGCCACTGAGCTATCCATGTGTCTGTATGTCTGTCCAACAAAATTACGACTACTGTTTAAACAATTTCTGTTGAAAATGCAACTTTATCTCGCATATTGCACTTTGCTCACATTGAGTTAAAACAACTACATCTAATTCCCTTAAAATCCTCATGTAAATAAGACATCAAAGCTAAATACGGTTTCTTGGTTGCACGCGTACGTAGCAGGCGTTGTCGAATTGCTTAGAAGTATACTTTCAACTGTAGACAATATGTGTTGTCTACAAAACGGTATACTATCTGTATCGACTGAATGAATCTTTTCGCTATTTTACAAGATATATGAACACATGTCAAACGTGTACGCATGTGTGTAGCACTTGAAAAGTGTAATTTCTTTTTCTTTGTTATTGAAATGCAAGCATGATCGGGGGAGCACACCAGTTTTTTCTCCTCGTATGCAGAACTAATAAATTGTTTTCCAATTCATTCGAGTATTTTTGGACGTACGGGTTTTTGGTTACGGAGTGAGCTATAAAGTAAAATCAAATGATTGCCTCAACCTCAGCGAGAAAACGCGCTATCTGCTTTGAATTAAATCCATTTTGTCTTCTTTTTCGTATACCCTGCTTGTAGTACAAGGGTGTGTTAAATTTTTGTAGATGTATGCAGCAGCCAGAAGGACTTAAGACAGACCTATTTTTTATTATACTGATCTTGTTTGCCTTGTTTTCTTCTAGTCAACCAAATAGGCCGCAATTTATGACATATTTAGAGAATTGTGGCCCAAGGATGAACTCTCTTGAGAATGGTTCGGTACAGACCACTCTTTTGACCGCTTTCCATACTGCGCTATCCACTCTGACCGCTTTCCATACTGCGCAGACCACTCTTTTGACCGCTTTCCATACTGCGCCTTACTTGATCAAAGGTGGGACGGTGTAAGGTATTTAAGGCTTGTCTTTTTTATATGTGGGTACAACATCCCCACATATGTGGATAGAGCGGTGGTGACGTAGGATTGTTGATGAAGGGGGAATAAGACCATTAAGAGAGGTTGAGATTTGTTTGGGAAGCAGAAATGCTAATAAAACTTGAGCTATGAGGAGCAGAGAAACTTATCTGAAGGAACAATAAGAAATTACTTTTTCAGACGGCACTAACGACAAATGTCAATTGAAACAAATTATTTTTATTGTTGTTATGAATTTCAATGTAAGACTAAGTCCTAAAGCACTGGCATCCAAGACTTCGGGCGTTATTGAGCATTCTATCGGACTTGAGGTTTGACCCCACGACCACTGATCGAAATCCTTTTTCAGCAAATAATGTAAACAACCAAAGCATGGAAAATATTTAGATAATGTTTATAGAGATATTAACTAATGCTTTCGCAAGACATTGCCCATGCTTTCCATCTGTGGGGAGTCAAAACTTAACTTAAGAGGAGTATGTAGACTGCTTAGCTTGGCAGATGTTGAAAATACGTTGCTTGTAAGTGCAGTCAAAACTGATTAGGCTTCCTCTGGAATACGCGTCAATAGTCCGATTCTAGATCCGAATTTCAGCCTATAAGCTTTCACGGTCGAGCGATACAATATTTGTTCAAAAGATGTGTTTGCGTTAATTTCCATTTTTTCTTGCTCAACGTCTTTACATTTTCGTTGTTAAGCCAACCGATGGTTAGAAGTGCACCTAAATAGTTTCCCTTAAAATTTGATCTGGATTAAGTATATGAATTTTTGGATGTCACAAAGAAATAAAATAATGAGCAACTATCCTATCTCTGATAATGAGTTCAAATATTTAGACCATAGATGATCAGCTTGTATGTCTGGATTAAAAAAAAAAATGTATATTTTTAAAATCTTTTCATATAAGCTATGCAGAAGGCGTTCAAAATTTGACTCAAGCCGATGACAACCTTTTCCTTTTTTCTTAGGAGATATTTAACAAAATATTTTAGCACACGCAAACACAAAAATACACAAAACGGTTAACAGTGTGATTGCTAACAACGAAATTCTTGCCCTCTACGAAACAAATGTCTATTTGTCATTATGATGAATATTTTGCTAAAACTGCAAAAAAATAAATAAAAACAAAAAAAAAAAAATTGTTACGAAAAATCGGTTGGCAGCGCTACAATAAAATTATAACAGAAGCGTTGTTGTAGCTCGTTTAAGATCGCTATCAAAAGTTCGCAAAATTTCACAAACCACTTTTGATGTTGTCAACCATCATACCGTAGCACGTTCTGCTCTTGTTATGTGATGACAGTAAATTTTCTTATTTCTTATTGTTACTGCTGTTGATTCTGCTGCTGCTGCTGCTGCTGTGTTTGTGTATTGGTATTCAGCATTCAGTTTGGTGATGATCATGTTGTTAAAACGCTTCACAAGCGGAGACAGACGGAGCGAGCAGTTTAAAAAGCCATAATCAACACACAATAATTCTTGACGCATTTAAAACATTGTTGGCGAGTACTGAAAGCCGCCTTAACAATCTGCATACAAATGGGCTAATTTTGCAATGTCGTTAAAAAAAAAAAATAAAAAAAAATAAACCTAATAATAAAGCAAATAAGGTGGTTATGGCGCTGCTTAAGCGCAGCGATGTAGCAACAGTTGGAGAGAAACAGAAAATTTCGGTAATTCTATCGGCGTATAAAACATCAAAGCATTCTAAGCCGCCACCTTAGCGGTAATAATCTAAACTAAACATATGATGATGATGTATTAGAATGTGCCTTCTTATATAAATGCTGCTGTTGCAGTAGAACCGCACCACCACCAACCGCACCATTACCAACACCACCTACAGTCTGACAGTGCATGGTCATAACTCACAAAGTCAGTCACATTAACAGTACAGACCAATAGTAAAAATGAGAGATTTTGGTATGCAAAGGTCGTTTAGTAGTCAGAGAGATATTAATAAATTTTGTTGTTTGTATGCCTCAGTTTGCGACAAGACTAAGCCTATAAACAACGAAGATAAACAAAACAAATAAAACTTGTTTAGTATGCTTAAATGGTTTTCGCAGAATATTTTCAGCTATAAGAACTCAAAGGTTCGGAGAGCTTTAGCATATTTAGATAATACAAGTTGCTGCAGTCTCCAATGCTTCGTAATGATTGCCATCTAAATAAATAAAGTCTTCTTTTTCCTTTTACAAATTAAGCCTATGAAACAGGCAGAGAGCTTTAAAAGGTTATATAATGTCTTCATCATCATTACAGAGCCATGCCGAACACTTGCCTTTTAAATGCGAATATTGTGCTCGTCTATTTAAGCATAAACGCTCACGGGATCGTCATACAAAATTACATACCGGAGATCGTCGTTATCGCTGTCCTCACTGTGAGGCAGCATTTTCCAGAAGGTAAGTTATCATTAATCATACCGGTAGCATTTACAATCAATAGACTTGTTTCTTCTCTTCGTTTTCATTCATTTTCATTCTCATATGGTTAGCGATCATTTGAAAATTCATATGAAAACCCATGACAATCAGAAACCGTTCCAGTGTACGATTTGTAATAGAGGTTATAATACAGCGGCCGCTCTCACTTCTCATATGCAAAATCATAAGAAACAAGCCGCTCTCTTAGCCGCCGGCGGTAATCCTCAAACTCTTAACTATAGTCCTCGATCTACTGGCTCTGCTTCTAGTAATGGCAGTTTGCATAAACGCCGTTACAATCTTGCAATTGAACCGGAGAATAGTCCAAATCGTTTGGAGTTTCCTAAACGAGTGCGCTGTTCGTCATCGAACTTTCTCAAGTGTACATTTTGTACTAAATCCGATTTTGTTAATATGGAACAACTGAACTCTCACATTCAGCGTATGCACGAGAAAGAGTTAATCAATACGATGCCTCAAGCTTCCACCACCACTACACTGCCTGCCGATGGTAACGGTTTCCAGTTGGCCTGCGAGTACTGCACTATGAAATTCCCGAATATACCGACAATGTTTCAACATATGCGTTCCACTCATATCGATCGTCTTGCAAGCCCGAATTCCTACTTTGAGCATTTAAATCGTTTGGCAGCATCAGGCACATTCAGTCCACGTTTACTTACTAACCCACCGTTAAGAAGTTCTGCTAGCACCGAGGAGAATTCCATTAAGGAAGAAACTCAAACCAATAGTCCTAAGACCGTAGAGAATTCGGCAAAAACCAATGAAGATGAACCCACAGATCTAAGCCAAAATAATAGGCATCAGCACTCTCCTCCTCCTGCTGCGCTGCAGGATCCTCCTTCGACAGCTACGGAAAAGCCGGGCGTCTACCTTTGCAATCAATGCAACGCCGGTTTACCAAATTTCGAGAGTTTTCGTAGTCATTTGCAAACTCATTTGGCCCAAAGTCTTAATTTAGTTTGTCATCATTGTGGCTTAGTACTGCGAGAGCTATCCGACTACGAAAGACATGTTATATCGCATTTCCTTATCACAAACTCTGAATACAATTGCCCGAGCAATTGTCAGAAGACCTTCACTAAATCGGATGATTTGCAAAAACATTTAATCGATCAGCATACAGTTACAGTCTACAAGTGCGGAATATGCTCGGATATATTTGACACTAAAGTTGCTTTGCAGGTTCATTTCGCCTGCACGCATGCGGAAGAAATTAAAATTTTTCGTTGCTCAGCTTGCATGGATGTCTTTCGCAATGAAAACGATTTCGGTGTACACGTGAAAACACGTCATCAGGTTGCCAACCCGAATCCGGCCCCTGTTAACAATTTGCAATGCATGTTTTGTACGGCAGTGTGCTCATCGGATCTCGAAATGCAATTTCATTTGGCTGCGCATGCCCGACAATTCCGTTGCCCCTCGTGTCCGGAAACATTTCATGTTGAATTTCTTTTAGATAGACATATGCAAACGCACCACGGCGAACGTGCTGCCGTCCCTCAAAAGGACGGTTTCGATGAGAGCTCCACGTCCACATCGAGAAATAATAGTTTAGCGCCTATGAACTCTTTATACGTTAATGCTTTATTTGGTAAGGCACCGTTAGTGCCTTTGGCGACTCAAAATAACAATAACACAATTTTGGATTACAATATGGCCTTTGCTACGCATATTAATAAAGGTTTGTTCCCTAACGTTGCTGCCCAAAAGTTTTATAATCCTTTGCAAATCGATACGAACGCTATGAAACACTCAGCCTTAATGTATGGTTTAAGTCAGCGTTACTTTGATACAAATCGCTCGGTAATAGATCTATATAATCAGAATCATGCCGAAAAAAATGCAATGACGGGAAATTACTTTATTAGCCCGAAGCAGCCAACAAATGCAGAAGTGCTTAACCGTCCCGAATTGTCGGCTTCACCATTAAGTTCTGCCGGTTTCAGTTGTGGTATATGTGAACGTAATGATTTCCGTACGGAATCTGAGGTACACTCACATCGTAAAATAGTTCATAATTTGAAAACTGGTGTCAGTTTACGTTGCGCTTATTGCTCGGGTAATTTTAAATCACGCAGTGAACTAGAACATCATATGAAAACCTGCCACAATTCCACTGGTAAACATAAATGTTTGATATGCGATGAAATCTTTCCTTCACCTGCCATACTGGCGGAGCATAAGTTGCAGCATTCAAAAGTGGGACAATCAGGCAAATGTTCACATTGCTCGAAAGTTTTGCCTGACGTAGCAGCGTTTAAGTCTCATCTACCCGAGCACAACAACGAAGGTCAAATGCCAGTACAATGCATATGCTGCCGGCAAACATTACATTCCGAGTTCGAGGTGGGATTGCACGCCAAGTAAGCTGCTCTTCGAATACGAGGGTAACATTGTTATCTTTCAATTCTTGACAATTTGTTCTCTTCCAATTTCAGATTTCATGTGAAGTCTTCACAAGTAACCGAGAATGTTTGCGCATTATGTTTAGAACCAATAGCATCTGGGTCTCCGACGGAGGCTAAAGTTTGCGAGAAATGTTGTCGTAAGCATAATCTGAACAATAAATTCAAGCAACCGGAAAACTTCGAACGACCGTCCATGCATCGACAATATGTTGAAAACCGATGCAACCTATGCAAAATGATTTTGCCTCATGTCCAAAAATTGCAAGAACACCTTGTGGAGCATACGTTCGCGGGTTGCGAAGATCGTGGCTTTAATTGTTATATATGCTCCGCGGTGTTTACGGTACCGAGCGGTTTACTTAATCACATGAACGATCACGGTTTGAATGCTCGTCCCTACGATTGTAATTTATGTCCAGAGAAATTCTATTTTCGAGCCGAACTTGATCATCATCTAATTGATCATGATGTACGTGATAAAGGTCCCATAAAAAGTGAACTAGATCGGCCACTAATAAATGAAAATAAGAACGTTGCGACGAAAGGCTGTACAACGGCCAAATCTTTAAAGCTTGCAGAGGTTAAACAAGAGATTATAGACGCTGAGGAAGCAATTAATACAAACGAAGATGATGAATATATTGAGGTAGAGAAAATCAATGAAACAACATCACTGGAGGTAAGAAAGCAAGAGAAGTCCGATTCGGAAAATTCCTCGGATGAGAAGTAATGTGAAGTAAATTTATTTATTTATTCCTTTTATTTTATATACATAAATATATATATATATATAAATTACTGAACTAAACAAGCCAAGCATTTGTGTGTACACATATTTACACTAACACTAATTTAGTTGGAAAGTAGACTCTAAGTATTAACTAATCGTGTAGTTCATCATCATATTGCCCCAGTCTTCTATTTCATAAACAAGTTAGCGTTTCAGTATTATTGTGATAAGCTCTAGAATTATTCGATATTCATTTGTTTTTCTTCTTTTTCTTTTTCGATCAGAAATTGTTATCAAATATTGTTTGTAGATCGAGTTTCAAAGATAAGCAAAAAACCAAACTAAATTAAATTATAATTATTTTTGAAACCTTAAGCATTATAAGGAAATTATTATCATATTTATATAATAATTAATAAATAAATAATAAAAAATATTACAAAATATGAGTTTTGCCTTCGACAAATGGAATTCAACGTAAGATATATACTGTGCAGTAGTGTGATTAAAAGGTCTGCTTCTATATCTTTGCAATGGAAAGGAAAATAATTGTTAAGGAAGCAATGCTTGTAAACCTTTGTACTAAACATGCGGACATATCGATTAGGGGAGACCAGGTGTAAACAGAATGGCTGATCAAAAATTATTGCATATTCCCACCTAGTCAAAGGCAGGGTATAGGAACTGCAACGTTATTTGCAAGTATCCCGGCAAGATATTTGATATTTGATTTATAATGTATGGTTAAACGAAAACTTACATATATATTATTCGCAAGTCTAAAAGAGTAATAATAAAAAGTAGGACAATTATATTCGGTTGTGACCGAATCTTTTATACCCATCATCGTTATCCTAAAAAAGGCAAAAAAGATAAACGAACTAAATTGTCATGATCACATAGGCGTGTGGACGTTAGAGGTGTGGACTTGGAAAGGTTTAAGTCACTTCCAAATTCTTTTGCTAATTTGTTGGTGTCATCTCAATTTCCGCTAACGGTAGAATCGTTATCGCAGATAGTACACATTGCGCAGACTGACACATGGACAAACGAACTGACGGAGAGCTTTAGGTGCATTCCAAACTTGAAACAGGCGAAGGATTTATATACTTTATGCGGTTTTTGAAGTTTGTTTCTGCGCGTCATAAAAGTGTTGAAAACAAATTAATTTTTACGTAATATAATGTTGGGTAAGTGTGATCAATTTTTTCCACTTTTGCACAAGTGCTACAGCGTGGCATACTTGATGAGTAATGAGCAAGGAACTAATTTTTTATTCCTTTTAAAAACAGAGGTGTTTTTAATTTACGTGGCGCTGTGGGCGATTTGGCCCATTCTCAAGGACAGCTTGCGCGCAAGAACATCCGTTGCTTCTGCCCAATTTGAAGTCGATGGCTTGATTTTTGTGGGCGGGAAAATGTTTAGTGCAGACATTATACAGACGGACAGACGACCAGCCGAGCAGACGGTCATTCTTAAATCGATTCAGAATTTGAAGCGAATGAAAAATATATATTCTTTACGGGATCCCTGAAATTTGCTTCTGGACGTTGCAAACGTTTTAACAAAAGGAACGCAACAAAATACATACAACAAAAAAAATAAATAACGATTGGAGAGACATTAATGTAGCGTACTTTAGTGGATAAGTACACGAGAAGATTAAATACAGAAGGAAAAATGTAAATCAGCACCAACTAGCGGCAGTCATGATGCAATTGCATATGTTGTACATTCGTCATGGATCGGATAGCGCAAATTATATGTGTAAAAGTATGTTTAAAGATAATTTGATCTTTATATAATAGAAAAAAGTAAGTATATTACAAATAGAACACTCCGTGTTAAAAGGATCTCATAATATCTCCAAAATCAAACTTTCATTCAAATAACCGACGGTTGCCTTAGAAAGTATTGGTATGTCGGTGTTGGACGTAAACTTTTCGGATTATCGAATATATATAAAACATTACGCTGAGGTTTATATTTATTGATTGCCAGTGAAGGAATCACAGAATGATTGCTTCTAATTCTTCTTTTTTTTTGTAACATGACGAATCACTTTGGGTTTGTCCCCTGCCTATGGAAGGGGTGAAGGTAAGGAAGAAGTTGAGAGATAGTGAACAAAGAGCTATGGAGTAGCCGTAGCCTAGTGTAATGAATGACCAATCAGTAAGGATTGTGCCTTTACCGACTGAGCACTCACTGTACTGTACGGTCAAAAGCCACTGAGATTTGAATCCGCGAACATCGACTTACTCGACTCGTTACTCTTGTCTAGTCAGTCGATGGTGTCGTTTGAACTTTATTTTTTAAAAAATTCTATGAATTGGATTTGAATGTGTTTTATAAAATACCTTAGCTTATATAATAACAATTACAATTACATACAAACAGAAACGATTAATGAGCATGTATATATCTAGAGACCACCACTTCACTGGTTCAGGAGCATTGCCAAATATAACAGTTATAGTTTCCGGATTGCAAATAGTTCTGTTATAACTTGGATATATTTGGAAAACTTTAGCTACTATTACTAAAAAACCTCAAAATATATATAATAAAAACACTTAAGAGAGGAACGGTATCTTTTGTATCATTTTAATAAACTGGTTGTTTAACTACGATTTTTCTCCAACTGCTTTTCACGCATTTGTAACTTTTTAAAAAATTTTCACGACAACGTTTATGGAGAAAATTTGCGCACAGCAAGTGATTGTTGTGTGATTGTGATTTCTTTCACGACACTACCATCAAAAAAATTAAAACAAAAAATTAATTTAACAAATTATTTTCTTGTCAAAATTAACAGATGTCTGTTATAGATCAAATGGATAATAGGATGATGAAGCTCTAGTTAACTTCTCAGTTAACCTTTTGAAAGCAAATAGTAGGACGATTAATGAGGATATATAAGTGAATCTCCGATTGTATATTCTATTCTAAGAAGTAGAAAAATCATATTCGAAACGTGTCCGAATTAATTATGGGTATCATCTCTTTTTCCATAGGCCATGTAACGTCCATGAGTGGACGTGTACACATACCGCAGAATCATCTGCAGGGGTATACATGCAAATTTTCATCGTGGTCTTCATAGGGGTTTTAAAATTTATGAGTAATGAGCAAAAAAGTAGACAGAAAAAGTACTTCCAGGTTAATCTGTAATGTAGGCTTGTCCTTTGACCGAATGTACCTATCAAGCATTTGCCATTTGGGACCATCAACCAAAGTTTTTTCCAACTTTACATTTCTGCCGCCATGAGAGTGGATCTTGCTTATGAATCTTGATCAAATAAGTGAACTTCCCCCTTCGTTGGTGAATATATTTTACAAGCTCTATTTATGCTGAGTTTATTTGAAACTAACTCTCAACTTTTCAACTTCTCACTATAAGTATAGAATAACACTGACGCCTATGTAACGCTATTCTCAGTCTTGTGCGCTCTTTTTCTTAACAAACACATAAAGATTTCTTTTGAAGAATGAATTTCGTTAACAAGGAATATTTAGTACCACAGGATGAAGTCTATTGGCTTTACAACCCTTACGTTAGTGTATTCTTCTAAGAAAAGTCAGATTGTATGTGGCAACCAACCTCCTCTCGCTTCCGTCCGTCATTCCAATCATCCATATGATCCCTGGGAGTGATTTCGAAAATCGTTTTGAATATTTCTCGCTCGCTAAACTTGAGCTGAAAACCTGCAACTGCTTTATGTTTTCTTAACATATAACGTTTAATGCAATCCTTCACCCATTTTCTTCATAATAAGGCTACTTTTGTTCTTGCAAAACAAGGAAAATAACCGAACTTGATGTGTTGTGTCACGAAAACAACTGCAATTTCTAAACTAATGGTCGGAATGCCATAAAATTTTTGATACATTTCGTTGGAAGGTCGGTATTCTTTCAAAATCATATCAATTGGTCAACAGTTATCCTTTTGTATATTGCGCTACAAACTTGTTAAGTGATGTGCTTTAGGTAGATGCTTGCATGTGTTTTTATCATTTTTGTATTTGAGAAAGGCATTCATTGAGACAAGTTGGTAAAAATATTTTCCATCATTTTCCACATCTTTCTCCCTTCTTTCTGGCAAACACGGCGATACCGTGTCGAGTGAACGGTATTAATTTGACAGCGAATCCGACTCATTTTCCCACTTCTTCCGCATTTCGAAATCGGGCGCCGGCCAAGCCATGCTGCATCCATCTGAATAAGCGATAATCAGAAGGCACTATGTTTGGTGAGTACGCTGGGTGCGACAGAACTTCCCGCTCGTGCTACAAACTGCTTTGCTACAAACCGTCGTCATCCAAGAGAATGACTTTGCATCTGTTAACCGGTATTGCTAGTTGTTTTTGCAATAATACGTCGTTCAATTTGTTCAAGTGAGTTCGGCAGCAACAGTTTCGTACGGTTTTAGGAGCTTGTAATGCACTCTACTCCTCGTTTCAATACCACACAGAAAACTCTTCTTTTCTTGACTGACAAGCAATGAAACCGCAATGTCGAGACGGTTTGAAATGGCGTTTGGAGTCAATTCACATTTTCTCTCCTCTTGGATTTTTTCCATCGCATGCAAACGTTTAGAAGCCGTTGGTTCATCAACTGCTAAGCTGCTCGAAAACTCTTTGAATTGGGGTTTCATTCAATAAGTTTTGCATTTCGTAGTCGTCGAATGTGTTTGGTTCTTCAGACCGCTGTTTATCATTGCAAGCAAAATCACCGCTTTTAAACCGTTGAAGAAAAGAAAAGCGACAATTGGGATGTGGTGGAGCAGATAGTGTTTGATGGGCTTCAGCAGTCGATTTCTTCAAATCAAAGAACAAGAGCAATTAATATCGCAAATGCAATTTTGGGCGTTCGTCTCTCTCTCTCTCTCTCTCTCTGGTGGTACTAAATGGAAAATCATTATTTTATATGGACAGAAGTCAAAATCATTGCATTTAAGCGTTATGTACATTGTGCATTACTTTATCATTTTCCGAAATAGA